TAGGGGGGGGGGGGGGTAGGAACCGTCATTTTTCCAAACGAGGTACCGTAGGTACCCCAAACGAACGGGTGTAAGCGACTGTTGTATAAGTAACTGGTGTCATTTTAGACGCTCCCAAGTTCTTTATTGGTTGAATGTTATAATTTATTTTTATTTAGTTTATGAAAATTATGAATTAGTTTCAAAAGTATATAATTTTATTGACTATTCTCATATACGGAGTAAGTTGTTTATTTGTTTGTAGATTAAATTCCATAATTGGTCCTTTATAATAGGGGGATTTCCATATTTAGTCATCTATTATCAAATATTACCTCCGTAGTCCTTTTTAAGGGTACTTTTTCACAAATTGTCATTTTTTGATCTTTTATCGTGTTGGTGTTAATTTAAAGGCTAAAAATATAATTTGACATCAACATTATGTTTAGTGACGTGTTCTGATATTAGTTAAGCAGATAACACAAAAATAATGACTATGGTTGTGGGCTAGGGTTCTGACGAAAGACCACATTTGTAGACTATGGTTGTAGTAGAAAATGACTATAATTCACAAACGATGCAAATGGAACAACCTTTGAAATTGTGTATGACAAAAAAGATATATTATCATTGTGAAATTACACTTTTAGCCCTCAAATTAACACCAACATGATAGAAGATCAAAAAAAGAACTATTTGTGGAAAGATACCCATAAAAGAAGGATCACTTGGATAATATTTGATAATAGAAGATTAATTAGAGAAACCTCTTGTTATAAAGGATCAATTATAGAATTTACTCTTGTTTCTAACTTTCTAAGTGTATTCTAAATTCTTGATTTAATAGAAAAAAATTTACAAGCCGGCATATTCGTGGAAATGATCCAACCATTCTAAGGGCGTAAACGAACCGAATCGAAGCGAATACCGATATATTTGAATTTGTATTTGTTTAATTTTTTCGAATACGAATCCGAATCCGAATATGAGACGAATTCAAAATAAGATTTGAATAAGTATTTGATTAATATTCGAATAGTTATCGAATCATAAACGAATATTTGAATAATCATACTATGTACTTTATATGATAGACCAACATCAATTTGTAATTTAACTTACGATACTCTTTATACTATACTATATTCCGTATATAAAAACATTAATACATTTGCATCTTACACAAATTATATTTTATAAAATATAACTATTAAAACTCATATGCTTTAGATTTTCGTGTGACGTTAATTTATTGAATTCTTAGTATTTTAAATACACTTTATACTATATTACTTTGCTTGACTTTTGATGTTGAAAACATGGTCTGTGTATATATACATATATTCGAATATCATCCGAATCGAATATATCCCTATTTGTATTTGTATTTGATTAATATTTGAATCAAAAATAATATTTGAATTTGAATTTGTATTTGAATAATGCAAATTCAAATCATCATATTCGAATACAAATCGCGAATCGAATTTAAAATATTTGATTTGTTTAGATCCCTACAACCATTCTCCACTCGTTTATTCTAAAAACAACTTTGGCAAGTTTCTATAAAAATCTGCCAGATCCCACCCCTATATTAAAAGTCAATTTCCGATTTTTTATTTGATAAAAAATGAAAACCCCCAAATTAAGGAGAGAAAAAACCAAAGCTGAAAACCTCGAATGGCTGTGTTCATCGTCTGTTTTCGTTCCTCTTCCCTCTGGACCCTGCAACAACTCTGTCTCTAAGCCGATTCATCATTGTCGATCCCCTTTCTAAGACACCGTTTCCGCAGGACAAACCGCGACACAGTTACTGTCCAGATGACGTAATTTGAAACGGAAGTATAATGTACGGAGGCTCCGGAAAGCATGGCCGCGGTGGGGGTGGAGGCCGTGGAAAGCGCAACATCTCCTCTTCATATCACGCGCCGCCTGTTCAGAGATCTTCTGCCGCATCTGGAGGCCGTTTGTCAGTCGGAAGTGGAGCAGCTGGTCCCCGCGGCTGCAGCACATCTTCTACCCCCAATTCCTCTGCTGCTTCCAATGAAGTAGAGGAAAGTTTCAGCCTTGCTACGGGAAATGCCTTGAACTTCTCAATGATCATTCGGCTGGCACCCGGCCTTGTGGAGGAGATCAAGCGTGTGGAGGCTGATGGGGGCTTGGCGCAGATAAAATTTGATGCAAATGCTAATAATTCTACTGGAAACGTAAGTGTTTGAATGATTTTTCCCCATTTTCATTCACTGAATTATATGATCTAATTTTGGAGTTTAATGTTTAACATATAATTTCACTCAAAGTCAGATTCTACTGGTTTGTTGTTGTTGTTGTTGTTGTAATTTCACTATGTGGAGTTTGCTGTATTTGGATAATCTTAAAGTTTGTAACATTGGATGGAAGTGTTCATATGGGTATTGGGCATTGTATTCATCAGGGAAGATACTACAGTACCGCTTTACTTGCTTATAATGCAAACATTATATCATCCTCATCATGTTATTGCCAACTATGTTAGGGTATGTTAGATGAAATCATGTCAAGGAATTCTTCAAAGTTAGTTAACAATACAAATAACAAATTCCCAGCAAAAGAAACATGGCAGGAAAGTTTTAAGTTGGATGCCCTTCTTCTAGCAACCTTATTACTAAGGAATAATGAGATGAAATACTACGAAATGACTCGGTCACTCGAGATAGCTGTTATAGTCATGTCTCATTACATGTTCGATAGTGTTATTTCAAAGATGCATATGCATGAGAACATAACCAAATAGTGCAAATTTCATTTATCACTAAAAGTTTCCATCTTGCTTCATCATAGAATTGTTTCTCCCATGCAGGACCCCATACTTATCCCACACGTTGGGAGGGGAAGTGGAAAACCTTAAATGTTAAGATTTATAGTGGTCTTGGTAAATTTTATCACATTGTGTAGATTAATCCCCAACCCCACCTAGTGGGATAAGGCTTTGTTGTTGTTGTTGTTGTTGTTGTTGTGTAGATTAATCCCGATTTAACTGTACTGGGACACAATTTTCTGGATGGGAGACGGATCTCCGAATCCGATGTGATTGCATGGATGTTATATTTTACAACGATTTCCTTTGAGGAATTAGATAAGAAATATCTAAATCCATCTTCTAAAACTGTTGATCTGTTTACTTCTTCTTGCCTGAAGTTTGCTAGTCTAGAAAATAAAATTTCTTTGCTGGATTTGCTGCCTCAAGACTTTTTGGTAAAATTTAGATGTCACCTGCATTTTGTTTCATCAATTTGACATCTTTACGTCAAATTGGTCTTGATATTAAAATTGCTTGTTTAATCAGGTTATTAAGGTGGGCAATAAGGACTTCAGATTCACATGGTCACGAGATGGGGGAGACCTTTGTGACATATATGAACAACGTCAAAGTGGTGATGAAGGAAATGGCCTGCTTGTAGAATCAGGCAGTGCTTGGAGAAAGCTGAATGTACAACGTGTTTTGGATGAATCAGCTAAGAATCATGTTAAAATGCTATCTGAGGAAGCTGAGCGCAAGTCTAAATCACGCAAGTATGCTTACTTTGTTTTTACATAATGATTGCGTGTATAATAGAAATAATACTCTATGATACAATATAATTGGTACTTGCATTCGTAAACCAATGAATTTTAAAATAACATCTGTATCTACATCAATTATTTTTGTTATTTGCATCATACTTACTATTGTAAAATCGTCTGAATATAGAGCCATCGTTTTAGACCATGGAAATCCATCTACGAAGAGTCAAATGAAAGCAATGGCTGCAGTCGAAGGTATTTTTTGTTTCCACCTATTCAGCATCTGAATGCTTTTTTTATGATGTATCATTTAAGCATTACATATTTGCCATTCCTGAGGGTGTGTGCTTACTGATGGGTTATTGGTTTACCAAAGGCAAATTCTATTTAGATGATGCTTGTTTGTCCTAGTCCTATAATTAAGACATTACCTCTTATTATTTGAATAATATATTTATATTTGATTTCAGCTTAGT